GCATAACAGTGTAAGATGGGTCACCTGTGAGTACTGTTATGTATTTTAAGCCAATTCGTTCTAAGCCCAAAAAGTCACACAATTGTTGGAAAAAGATTTCCAGAAAATAGTCTTTTTTTCCACACCTCTGTTAGAGGTGTGGAAAAAAGACTATTTTCTCAAATGAGATTATGACAGTACTGTGTGTCCGGGCTCCTCGGCTTTGGAACGACCTGCCCGAGGAGATAAGGCTGGCATCATCAGCTTCCTCTTTTAAATCACTTCATAAAACCCACTTTTATCAAACAGCTTTTAATTGTTTAGTTTAACATTCACGTTGTATTTCTGTCTGCTTTTCTTTTCTTTGTTTTGTGTTTACTCTGTCTGCTTTGTTTTCCTGTATTTACAATTTTATCTCTTTATTTTTATTTTGTATTATCATGACTGTTTTTATAGTTTGTTATGTTGACTATACAGCTCACTGTAAACACGTTTTTTGAAAAGACTTATTATACAAAGACAGATTTGTTATCATTATTATTAAGTCCTTTTGTAACCTCCATCCATCCATCCATTTTCTTCCCCTTAATCCATTTCTGGGTTCGAGGGGTGGCAGTCAGAGCTGCACCCGATGCGCTGACTGTAGCACCAGCCCCTCACTGATCCTCCTTCGGGTGGTGACCTCCTGCTTTTGTGACCTGACCCCCTCATATGTCATTGAGCCTCTTCCTTCAGTCTTTCTGCCGGCATAAACAAACTTCATTTTACTGTACTATTTGGTATATTTTTATATGCATAACTTCATTATACTGTATATACTGTATATTTATGTATACATAACTTCATTATACGAAATATACTGTATATTTTTATATACATAACTTCATTATACTGTATATACTGGGCAGCATGTCCTTTGATCCACTGTAAAATGTGCGTTGCCTCCAATCCACTGGTTCATGCCGGGACTAATGTAGTAAGACAATTAACTTGATGTTACAGAACAAAGCTGCGCAATTAATTACATTTTAATCAAATAGTAATGACCAGCTTGGGGCGTTTTTGGTTCATAAGCAAATCCTCTGCCTGTACAACCCAGTGTTTTGGAGGAGAGAATTTGCTGTAACAATTTGTACTATAGGGGCGGCAGACTCTGTTGGTGGAGCACTGGCCTTTGGGCCTGAAGGTCGAGGGCTCAAGCCCAGCACAAGATCTTCTTCACGACTCCCACTGATGTCTGCTGTAGTTGTGTCCTTGGGCAAGACACTTAACCCCACTTTGCCTGAAGCCCTCACTGAAAGATCAAGGCAGCTCAGACTAGAGCAGCCGTCCTCCTGTGGACCCACCACCTGCAGGAGGATCAGTGAGGGGCTGGAGCTCTGTGAACTGGGTGCAGCTCTGACTGTCGACCCCCGACCCAGAAATGGATTAAGGGGAATAAAATGGACGGATGGATAGATACATTTGTTTTTGTATTTACTTTATGACACTGGAACAATTTAAATATAAAGAAATATAATGCTCAAGAACCTCTATAACTTTAATCTAAACAGCACACTTATATATTTGTTTTTAATAAAGTTTGTAGAAACGCTCGAGAAGGAACTTCTCAAGAAAAATATTGTTGGCCATGTTTCTAGCAAGCAGCTGGTCCAACAGATGCATTAGCAAAACCATGGTTCAAAGGTGTGGAATGACCCGATAAGCTGCTCTGTTACTTATAGTTTAAATGTTGTAATTTGCATCTTAAAATCGCCATTGATTAATTTGATTATTTCAAATTTTATACAGTATGCACAATGCACATCATTGAACAGACACATAACAAACTCAAATGCAAACATCCAGATTCTAACCAAGTTGAAAGGCCATAATTATGTAGCCCAGAGGTAAGGGTCAAGGTTATATACAATAACACAAAAACATTATATTACACAACATAGGTCACATTCACACACATGCCAATTGTGGGGTGATCTCACAATTGGATCCCACAATTAGTATGCTACTCCTGTTATTTAACTATACTGTAGAATCAGCTCCCCATCTACATTAAGAAAGCAGACACAGTCTCTGGATAAAAAAAGAACCTTGCCGCTTGGTCCACATTCTAGTCTAGGCTTTGATCTACAGCCTGTCTGTCTAAATGTGGGCCTCCCTGAGGTTTCTCCCTTTTTCCAAGTGGGTTTTTAAATTGCTCTTGCCGATGCAGGACAGTCAAATGATCCAGGGCATTTGAGGACATTTACCAATGGCTCCTTTGTGTTTGTTATTACTGCATTTTCTGTGTTTGAACTGTTTAATTCTCTGATCTGTGTCGGCGAATGTAAAGTCCTCCTTGAGGACTGCTGTTGTGGTTAAGGCCAAACAAAACAAATGTGATTGAATTGAATTTTAGCACAGCAGTTTGATCAGTAATTTCAGTCTCTTCACACCAGCCAAGATTGTATCATTTTAATACTATTTTTACCTCTTTCCATAACCTCCTCCAGCGCCCTGTGAGCTCTGGCCCGTACATCTGACTGCTGTTCTTGCTCAAAACTCTGCTCACAGCTCAGGAAGCGTGGATGCTCTTCACTGGATGTGTTTTTTTGGTCTAATTCCATGTCTATCTGAAGCCAGTGTTTATCGCCCGGGTCCTGGCCATGCACTCGCGTCCAGATGGTCCGGTCCTGCATCTGAGCGCGCCCCGTGGCCTCCAAAGCCCTCATCTCCTCCTCTCTCTCCGTTCATCTTTCATTCCTCCTCTTCTTTCATGTGGAGAGGCCTTCTACACATCACAAACTTCTTTCGTCTCTCTCTCCCCCCTTTCCCCTGTGCCGTCCTCTGGTGTGACTCAGTTTGGATACTTGTTGCTCTGTCCTGGCTTCTTTTTTTCGCCCGCTTGTCGGTGGATTCGCGGGTGTCTGGTGTCAAAGAGCTTATGAGGACAGGCCAGATCGCGACAGGAAAGAAGAGGGACTTTGACACGGTGCTCCTCTGCGGCGACATTTGTAATTCAGATTAAGCACCCTCAATCTGTCCGGGAGTCACAGAGCCGGGTCTTCAGAGGCTTCACCTTTGTCGTTCTGCTATAACGCACGGAGCAAAGCGGCAGGTATATAATGAGGAGAGGGGTACCATTAAAGGTGCTGCGTGGACTCTCTAGACTTTGGAGTGAGTGACAGAAAACCAGGAGGAGAAAAGAGAGAATTAGTGAAAGACCTGTTGTAGAGCAGGTACAGTGATGATGTGAACCATTATCCCTATATCGTACTCCCAATTGAATGGGTAGTGAACAAGGGAAGGTCATTTAAACATGGACATTCATCAAGAAAACATTGCAGAAAAGTAGTGATTTTTAATTGTTATTTGTTTAAGGAAAATTATGTTTTAAGAGGATAACAGGAGACTAGACCAGTGGGGCAGGTCCCGGCTAAAAAATGTTCAAAATGCTGGGTGCTGACATGCTTGCAATACCACACCGGGCCAGAGGGGATGGACCCGGAAAGGGAATTATTCAATGCAAATGTACGTATCTTCTGACCTCTGAGAAACATCTTTACAGGTTGGTCCAAAAGTTGTATCTTGTGTGTCAATGCTGAGGGGAGTGAATTTTTTTGGACCAGTCTAGTTTGGTCGCTGTGAAATTTTGAAGGTACTTGTTAAATGAATGGGGCTCGTGCCGGCTGACGTATTTGCAGATGCGTTTTTTCACATTTTCAAGCCCCCGTGGCCATTTTGAATCGCTCCATGAAAGCCCAATTTTTAGCCCATTTCTTTGAACAGCGGAGATAGGCGTGACTACGTGCGTTAATATTTACAGTCTATGGACTAGACCAGAGACTTCAGGAGAATAAGCCTCCTAGTCTATCAAACCATCCATCCATCCATCCATTTTCTACCCTTTAATCCATTTCTGGGTCAGGTCTGGGTAGTCTATCAAACCAGAGATTTCAAAATGTCAAAACAATGCCCCCACAAGTGCTGTTTGTACAGAGCTGCCACTTGCGCCAATAGATCATGCAGCGCTTCTGTTTCACTTTAGAGCTTTTTTAAGGTGTGCATAAGGTCTTATACACGTGATATCAGTGATTATAAAGCCACTCGCACAAACAAATGCTCTTGCATTGAGTCATACGGTTAAAATGAGTCCCAAAAAATTTCTTAAGAAACATTGCATTGTTAAAGGTGTACAGAAATAAGGACATAAGTAAAACATCCATCTTAAATTGACATCTATGAGCAGAGAGAGAAGCCAAGTGAAAGAAGAAGAGAAAACACAGGCTCACGTGTTCCAGATGCATTTTTGTGGAAAAGTTACGGTTTTTTAACACAATTGCAGACCACCATATTGCAGTTTGAGCTTATTATGCATTATTAGCTAACAAAAAGGAGCTAACCGAGATACAGCAAAGGGGGTACCACCACACCTAACGTCACGCCAATCCAAACAAGGAAGTCAAGGAAAATACTTTCACCCACCATGAGTGAGAAGCCAAAAAGCGCTCGTTACTCACAGAAATATGGTACAGATAGAAAAGTGAATCTGACTTTTGGTTTGCATTCATATTGTGTCCCTGATAAATATTCTCATCATAAGCATTTATTTTGCATTTATCTTTTTACAACAGATCTCCATGAGCTGCTGTTGGTGAGTGTGTGTTAGGTCCAGAAAGTGATATTATGTTTTAACTGTGTAATAAACATGCTATTTTAAGTTACGGTTTGCCTATATGAGGTTTATACGAAGTAAAATTGGTGGGTTTTGGACTCAATCAACGAAACATCAATCCACAGCAGCACTGGCTCATACAGCGATGCTCTGTGAAAGCCTTCCTTTTTAGTGGAGTGTTTTAAAGCCCAGGCCCGTGTCCTGTCAGACTGAAGCATCGCAGCGCGTTTAAGGCCGCTCATAACTCAGCTACCTTTTTACATTACAGCTGTAGAAGTCTGTTTGATTGACCAAAGGCGAAAAAAAAGAGGACGGGGCTTGTTTTGAAAGGTGCGAAGTTTATGGAGAAACTTACCTGTCAGTCACGTTAAATTGGTGCTGAGAAGTGAGCGGAGAGCGGGTGTGCGGCGAGGGCCAGACAGTTGCATTGGCGGTGGGTGGCCTTCTTCACGGTGAGGAGGTCATCCACGGGCGTCGCTGACACAAGAGGGAACAAACTGTGCTTCTTCACACACTGCAAACACCATGTGACACAGTCTGAACGTCCGCGGGGAGACGGCTTTTAGATTCTCTGTGGAAATGTTACGAATGATAATTGTTTAGTGTTGGAGGAGTGGGTAAGAATCAAAGACACTGACGAAAAAACGTTTATCGATGCCTTTGTCTGTCTGTTATTGTTTTATGAATTGTGTTACGGATTCAGATTCATCTTATTTGCCATGTGCAGTATAAAAAAACACATTGGAATACATTTGCAAAAAAAGGTACTCTGTGTGCACCGACAGAATAAAGAGCACAATATAAGGGGTAAAAGCAACAATTAAAGTGCTCTGTTTAGACACCTAACAGCTTGTGGAAAGAAGCTGTCTAGCATCTCAGCGACCGGGCAGGGGGGGAGGCGGGAGGGAGGAGTCTTGAGAATAGTTTTGCAGTGCCTTTACTTCTCTTTTAATGATTTTAATGTATTCATTGTCTCTTTTTTAACTATTTTGCATTTTTTAACTCTAACCTATGTATGTATGTTTGCATGATTGCGAGCAAGGGACCAGTGTACAATTTTCTTCGGTATATATCTTTCTATCTATCTTCTGCCCGAGGGAAGAAGCTGGAACATGGTTTTACCAGGGTGGCAATAAGAGTCATTGATGATTTTAAGGGCTCGGTTTAAAAGTCTGGATTAATTCACTCCAGAACAGGACGCTCACAGCCCACAGTTACTTTTTGTATGAAGAGATAACAAATAAAGATTGAGTCATTATGTCTTTGTCTCATATTGGTCTGTGTTCGGTGATGACATTGTACCTCGGTGAACAATACAAATATTCCATTGGATTAAAAAAAAAGTCTATATTTGTCATGGTTAAGGTTTATTTCCTGTTTTATTTTGTAATTTGTTAACCCCTGTCTCTTCTTATAGTTCTCTACTTCCTTTTGTGATTAATCAAAAGTCTTTGAGTGTCCAAAAAAGTACTTTTAAAAAACCCAATGCACAATTATGAAAGGTGCGCAGTGAGATCAGAACCCAAGACAGATCAGAAACCTATTAAAATGTAAATATTCTAAAATAAAAAAATCACGTATTCATAGCCTCTGACATGAAACAAACCATTGATTTGTCTTCTAGATCACAGTGAATTAAATATTGCAGATTGTCAACTTCAAGAGTTACTACAAACAAATGAGGCCGCATTTTAGGCCATAATAAATAATTTCAAAAGTGTTTGTGAATGGTGAAACCTTTCATCTTTTTGTCAGTTGGATCTCTTCACTGGGTGAAGCCGGATGAATGGCAGCTCCTAATGACTCAGCCAAACATCGATTGTATTGTTCTTCCATTCAAGTTGGAAAGACAAGAGATGGCATTTATACTTGGCTAAAAATAAAATCCAGTTGGAACAAAGTGAGTGGGTGTTTATATTTTTTTGTCTCACACCCAAACTCTTGCCGATGCAGAAGGGTCTAAGGATTTGAGGATATTCATGTGTCATCCACTCCCCATGCATCAATGGGGCTCCTATGTGTTTGTTATTATTGCATTTCCTGTGTTCAAAGACAGTTGCTAAGGTCCCGCCTATATAACCGCGTCTAATTAGTCAACTGCGATGTCAATCATTTAATTCAACCAATGACCATCTCGGCATTTTGTCTCCGGTTAAAATACAAACACAAACAATGAATCACTGCAGACACAAATCGTAGCAAAGTTAGCCAAAGTAGCCATCTCACACTGAAAGTTATACCAAGAAAAGTAGACTCATTTCTGATTGTAATTCTCTTATTGTTTCTGTTATTTTGAGACATGGTTAGCCACCTGGTATACTCCCATTTCATTATTATACAGATACAGTATGTTGAATAAGGATTACAATGTCTTTTTTTCTGAATATTACTTAGAACTTTTTTCATAGTTATGTGTAATGGTGAAATGCTGTACATATACAAATGTATTAGCTGTATTAAATGTCAGACACTGATTTCTTTTCAACTCTTAGAAACAGTTGTTACGCAGGTGGCTCCCTTCACTGTCCGGTACTTCCTTGTTATCTACGACCTGTGCAAGGCTCTGAATGTTTCTACTTCACAATATTCACAAAGAAAAGTAATTTAACCAGGACCTCTTATTCTTTCTCGCAAAATTTGAGATTCAATTTATTTGCCATTTGCAGTATAAAACAACAATGGATTCCTTTGTCCAAAAGTACCCAGTGTGCGCCAGTGACAACAGTACAAACACCAAGCAAACATGAAAACACAGACCATACAAAACAAATGTCAAACAAATCAATAAAATACATACATGAAATAACGTCCAAGAATATCAAGTGCTTTGTTTAATCTAATAACACCTTGAGGAAAAAATCTCTTAGCAATGGTGCCCTGTCTCAGAACCATGTGAGGCAGGAAACAATAAAGATTCACAGTTTCAGATAAATTCAATTCATTTTTGTTCATGCCAGGATGCCAGAATTGTTTGTTTCAACCTGGATTGGTGTTTATTGAGTTAAGATTTCATGGAGTATGTCATGGAGAGAATGTCCTGCTGTTTAGATGGTGATGGGGAGGAGGAGGGTTGCGGCATGAGCTGAAAGCTGAGATGATGCAGCATGTACCGATGCAGCACAAGCATCGGAAGCTTCATTAACCAACTCAAACTGATACAAAATATACAAACCAATATGCACATTTTTACAGGAATTAAGCAACATCTCATGTTTTTCTCAATTAAGTCCTTAGAATAATATGGCTCTATGTGCGTTTTGACTAATTTTGTGTCCAGATCATGAGGTAAACAATGGGGAAATATATTTCTGCTCATAAAACTAAAAACAAAATAAAAAAACCTGAAAAATGTTTCCACTATTATTAATGAGTAAGAATATACAAATAACAAAAAGTCCGCTTGGAATAAGAAGGTTCTGAGTGGGGAGTGCTCATGCCTCACAGTAAGAAGGTGGAGTTATGTTAAATGAAAAAGACAATAAAGTACCTAAATACCTTAAACTTCAGTAATTACTTAACTAACCATGAAAATCAGTTGCAGATCATTTGTAAACTATAATTATGTAAATATACATTATTTATATTGAAATAATTATTTGTAAACACATTGATGTAGGCGTAGAGGACTAGGACATGCACCACTCTTCACCAGTCTAAAGTGTTTGGGTAAGGCCAATTCTGCGTGTCCCCTTTGGCTCGGTGCTGCTGGGAGAATAAATGAGCAGGCTGGTGATGTTCAGCTGTTTGCCCCTCTCCCTCATGGCAGTGCAGTGTGCCCCTCAGCCTCCCCCTCCTCCCCCCTCTCCTCTCCTCTCCTGTCTGTGGTATAAGCACTTTGGCGGGTGACAGGGCCCATCCTTCACTGGGCCGTGCCATATGCCGCTGCGCTGTCAGAGGAGACGGGAGCCGATCCTCCAGCTGCTGCCTCCCCCCGTGCATCGCTCTGCACCTTAAAGAGGCAAAGGTGGAAAGATGCACAAGGAGAAGTATGGGCCGGGGACTGCAAAGGAGAAATGTATGGAACAACTTGGAACTTAAACTATACAGACCAAAACTGCATTTAAGGAATTGTTCAACTATAATCACTTTTTCACTCGTCATACCCTAGACTTCTAGTTATACAGTAGATAATAAGTCTAATAATAATGATAATAATACCAACAATCTAATAAGTCTAAAATAACACTGTGGTGAAATGAGGTCCTGGGTTCACATCCTGTGTCAGACGCAGTGGGATGGCCGCTGTCCAATCACAGCAATGAAGAAGTGACATCTTTGCAGACTGGCTCCACGCCTGTAGTTCTGACCACAGAAGCGTAAACACACTCTGAAACCCTATGGCCACTTTAGATCCTGGTTCAAAACACCAGGTCTCAAACCAGGTCCGTTTACTCGCTGTTGATTTTTTGTTGTCGCAGATCCGGTTGTGTCACGTGACTCGCATCACAAAAGTAGTTCCAGCCTCATGTCATCACTGCTCAGTTTGTGCTGCTCGGCACATGCAGCATGGGGATCTTAAAGCACGTTTTGACAGATGCTCTCATGGCACTGAAGGATGGGTCAAATGCAACTGGGCGCTCTGGTTTCCCCCATCATCAAAGATGCACCAGGGGTAAAATCCTCAGCGAAGGTCCGGACCAAGCCGAGCATCGACATCTGAAATGGGTCTGAGCCCCTGACCTGCCTGCCTTAGTGGCAGTGTAGGATGGGTCAAATGCAGAGGACACATGTCCCTGTGTCGTCATACCACCACCACTAAAAGCATGCAGCTTATCAGACTTGTCAAATGCCTCAAGACTATTCTGCTTAAATAGAAGTAAATACATAAACTAGAGAAGTATATGTGCTCTGTAAAGAAGACATATTGTGCTTTTTGTGGAATAATTTAGTATTGAACCAGACCACGATATGCAATGCTTTGTATTCATGTTTTATGCATACAGTACATGCTCTTTTTGAACAGTAAATATATGAATTGATTGACTTCTCAATAGTGAGTATGAGATTAAAAAGCATTTGTGAAATAAGGGCAAAACTAACAGACTGAGAAACTTAATTTTCTTCCTGGGAAGAAATCGTGTTGGCAGCAATTATATCTAACCTTATCCTTGCCATTTTGCCTCCAACTCCTCAAAAGCAGCTTCATAATATCCTCAGAGTGAAGTTCAACAAAATATTGATGGTATAAAACACTGTCTGTAACTGTTAGATCGACCTTTTCTGGACAGATTGTGTCACCACACTTTAACAGCACATCTCTGAGCTTTGTATATGGGCTTGTTCACACTAAAGGGCACAAAAGTGTGACAAAAGGCCAAAAGTTATATTTTAATAATCAGAAGCTGTTTTATGTTTTTCATGTTTCCAAGCACCTCCTCTGTCCATTAGAAGTTGCAAGAACATAATTGTTTTATACATTAGACAAGTTTCCTATAGCGGCCCTGTTTATTTTATGTAACGGACGTGATGATTTGACGGAATGGGCTTTGTGGAAGTTTGATAGGTATTTTCAGATGTCCACATTTGATTCAGAGATTCTACTTTTTTACACAAAGTAGATGCAAAGTGATACTTTCATATTGTCAAGCAAATAAATGTGACAACAGACCAGATTTTTTTTTTTCTCAAGTTTAATTTTTAGAGAAAAGAGGACCGTCCTCATCACGTCCGTTATACATTTTTCAGGGGTCATTTAATTAATTAATTATTTTTTATTTTTTCACGATTCCTTTTTATATCAAGTGATTTACTTCTGTTGTGTTAACCATGTAAATCTTGTGGGATTTCATCTTCTGTTTTTTCAGACTGAGGACATTTTATTTTCTATGTAACTGGCGTCACAGTAGAATGGTCCAATCAGAGGCTGATTTGGTCGTTTAAAATGTTGCTAAAAAATTTTATGTCAATCTTTCCTTTAGATTTTTTCCACACTATCTCTTCAATGTGTCTGTGTTTGAAATCTTTCTTCCAATCTATGAAAGTAATTTTAGTTTTTAAGTTATAACCTTTTAAAGTCCAGATACTTCAATTGTCACTTTACTGTGAACACACATATAGTAATCAGTGATGGGAATAACGGCGTTACTAGTAACGGCGTTACGAAAGCCGTTACTTTTTTCAGTAACGAGTAATCTAACTAATTACTTTGACAGTAACTATAACGCCGTTATCATTTCCGACATCCCGTTACTGCGCGTTACTCAAGACGCACAATGAACGTGTTGTCATGAGAGAAGGGAGGATGAGAAAACCTCTCAGCAATTATTGGCTGATGTAAATCATATTTCCTTTACAATACACATGTCTACAGTTGAGAGGATGGCTGATAAATTGTGTTTTTGAAACAAATATGGGTCTTAATCGCGCTCAACCACGGCTTGTATCACCGTGAGGTCAGCCGCAGAGTAGCGCATGTGAGCGCAGAAGTCGGCTGCATACAATTCCATCGATAAGCTCCTTGCTCTTCCTGGTTTATCTGCTAAGGACAGCAACAGGTTTGGCTAACATACATATAACACATTTTTACATAATCTAAAATGCACATAGGGTAATTTTTCAATTACTATAGGAATGATAAGAAAGAGAGATGAAGTGTAAGACGGTTGATTTTAGAAATTAGATGCACTCGGCTGCCGCTAGCAAAACACAGGAGTTTATGGAGGACACACGCGTTTTGTTTTGCTTTTTAAAACTCATTGGACTCATTTCCAAATGGAGGATTACATATCTACGCTCAAACCATTAACTGGATTTAAACAAGGAACTGATCTGAACCGAAGTGGACTGTGCAGGTCATTTATAAGGTATAGCTATAAGGTAAGACCCATAACTCATAGTTTTGTGTTTTGTATGAACAAACAATGCGGGCATAAAACATATTTTGCTGTAGCCAAACAAATTGTCCACTTGATTTATATGATGTATATGTTCATCTGATTTGACTGAAGTCAGTGCTTCACCAGCCTCACCGCTCGTCACCGGTGTTTCCACATTCACAGTGGCGGGTGTTGGTGTTTAGTGCTTACAGCACAGTGAGAGATGAAGAGTGAACAGGACTTCAGCAGCAGAACAGCCTTTTCTAGATGGAAATATTGGCACTGTTAAAGGTAAAAATGCGCACGTCGGGTGCACATTATGTTCCAGAACAAAACGAAAAAGTAACGCAATAGTTACTTTTACTGGTAACTAGTTACTTTTATAGTGGAGTAACTCCGTTAGTAACTCAGTTACTTTTTGGGAGAAGTAACTAGTAACTATAACTAATTACTTTTTCAAAGTAACGTGCCCAACACTGATAGTAATGTGTGGGTAAGAAATAAACCAGTCATTAAGCAATATATGCTCAAATAAGTACAAAAAGCATTTTCAATTTGTGATGCTACGAGTTTGTATGCCTCTGATGATACACTTGAGAAGAACAAACACAATTGAACCCCATTTCCATTCAATAACCAGAAGTACTTAACTCAATAATCTCAATAAATAAACATATGGAAAGTTCTAAAAAATGATCTCGGTATCACTTTGCTATTCATTTTTCTGTTCTTAAGGAAGAAAGAGTTGAAGAAGCATACTAAATGTTGAAGTATTCAGAATCGGCGTCAGCAGCAGCCCACAACGGATGGAAGGCTGGATGACCAGATAAAAGAGGACAACAGAGGCCTCTGGAGATGTCGTGGGTCAACAACGAAACATGGAGAAAGGAGTGCACCTGATGATCCCGATGATCTATTCTATTAAGAAAAGAAGGTTTTTTTTCTTAACCTTCTTTTCAGAATATAAGGAGTCGACATTAGATTTATTTGGGGCTATCAGTAGTAAGAAAAATGAGTTTAGGTATAGAACTGATACCAGGAAAAACAACAAACATACTTTCCATGTATGAAGTGAACCACAGGAGTCGGTTCACTTCAGAAGTAAATGCAGTAGCTTTCACAGTCAGATTTCAGAATGTGACCTATGTGACTGTTAGACCAGACAACACTTTCTGTCATGAATCCACTTCAACAACCGAATGTGAACGCAGCCTTCAACTGGTCCAATCCGGTCATTCGTGTGAGTTCCCCACTCTTTTCCCTCTCGCCGACCTCCTTCAGAGAGAGCTTTGCAGTAATTAAAGACACTCCAGTCCCAGCTCTTGTAAATAGAGAGAGCGGTGCTGTTTATTTTTGACTTTTGTGTAATAGCTTTGGGAGCAGGCCTTGTGTTTGTTTAATAATGCTTGGACCAAATCTGATGGGCTGCTCTCTGTTTTAATCAGTTCAGTCACCTGTGGAAGCTGCTCTAGGGCCCAAGCTCCATTTCACGGCTTAATACACTGCGTAACACAACGAGGAAGAAACTACGCTTTCCAAGTCTCACATTCAGTTGTCTCTTCAAGGAATGCCAATAAATATCTTCATTATGGAGTTACATTTGAGGCTATTGGTTGGTTTCTATATGTATGATCTTATATATGCATGAGTGAGGGCTAAAAGGTTAGCCACATTTTTTAGTTTTTCATTTTCCATCCATCTGCCCAACCATATTCTTCCACTAATATAGCCATGTCTGTGCCACTCCATTCATCCATGACATTAAATTTGTCTGGTATATCCTCCCATAGACTGTATGATAGACCGCCTATCTCAATGAACCTGCCTTGGGACTACGGCTGGAATTTAGCAGTTATGCTAAGTCCGGTGCATTTACACTGACGCTTAAGGCATCAATTTTAAAAAATGTCCATTGTCCCATCCATCCATCCATCCATTTTCTTCCCCTTAATCCATTTCTGGGTCGGGAGGTGGCAGTCAGAGCTGCACCCAGTACACTAACCCAGCCCCTCACTGATCCTCCTGCAGGTGGTGAGTCCACAGGAGCTGAGATCTTTCTCAGGGCATCAGGCAAAGTGGGGTTAAGTGTCTTGCCCAAGGACACAACGACAGCAGACATCAGGA